ATTTAAATTGCGAAAAGTGTACGCCTGTTCAAAAACTATATGAAGACAACCCGTTGGTAATATGATAGTTCCCGATCCTTCTTTGTGTGTTAAAAAACCAATCATTCGTCATATAACTAAGAGTTGACAGTATTTTGAAGTTTGCAAATAAGATATATTTGTATCTCATCATATTTTCGCCTTTTCTCGTACCGCGACGTCCTGATCGACACACAAGTTGGTCGGGCGGCGCGCGCCACGCGTGGACTAGCGTGGACTCGGGCGCGGCTGCAGCGGCTGCAGCTGCAGCGGGGCAAGGTGAATGTGCGGCGATGCGGCCGCCGAGTGCCACACGAGTTGCGCTACAAACTGCAATCCCGATCCGAACGCAGGGCAGGGACAGGGTGCTGCTGGGCCGGGTGACGAAGGGTAAAAGTGGTCTTACAGGTGTTGAATTCCGAGCAAATGAAAATCACCAAAAACGCTGTGCGTGGACCGCCTTTTTTGGTGGGCTGCTTTGCGTACTGTTTCCGTGAACAGGAAACCATGCACTTTTCCTGTTCCCAGCCTTGGGCATGTGAGTTCAAAGACCATTGCATCTACGTCAAATGTGTGCTCAAGTCACCCGAAACTCTGCAGCAGCACGCCGCATGCACACAAGCTTGTAAAACCCCCAGGCAGGCGGCTGAGCTGCACTCTTAGCGCACTTTGTTGGGCGAGTGCTAATGAGCGGACAGAGGGTGCGCATTTGCATGCCGCTATGTGCGCATGCGCACAGGTGTGTGTGTTGCGCCGGGGTCCACTAATACCCCGTGCTTTTCTCTGCTTTCCAGGTCAGGCCGGTGACGCCCTGCTGCTGCCCGTCCCCTTCAGAGAACGGGCGAGTGCTTTGCGCTCCCCCGGATTGCGCGCCCAACGTTTAATTCGACGCTGATCACCACTAATTTAATCGCGAGCAGGCGTTTTAAGCCGCGCAGCGCACCAACGGAGGGTGGACCCGAACCAGCTTAGTGTGAGCGTGAGAACCGCT